GGTGCACACCCTAATGCAATAGGCTGCGTACGCCTATGAAGCTTTATATGACTACATTAACAAAACATTTTCCTTTTTTATATATATTATAATAAAAAAATCTGACGGGGTTGATAACGAAAAGCCTTAGGAGGTTCAGATCCTTATAAGTATCTCAGAGATCGCTTTATTTAGCGTTGAACATGGTTTGATAAGATGCTGATTCTTGAGAGAAGTAACACTGTTATTGACATGCTGAACCTTTGTACAATGTGATCTATTTGGATTTTGCCAAGGCATTTGATACAGTTCCACACAATAGATTAGTGTTCAAACTCAAGGAAATTGGTCTAGATGAAAATGCTTGTTCTTGGGTAGGACATTGGCTTAAAAACAAAGTTGTCATTAATGGTAAATTTTCAAGCTGGACAGAGGTGGCAAGTGGTGTCCCTAAGGGGTCTGTTCTCGGACCCCTTCTATTTAACATGTTTATAAATGATCTTGAAGACAGCATTGAAAGTCATGGTTCAGTGTTTGCAGATGACACAAAACTCTGTAAAATAATACAATGTGAGCAAGATATTACTTTGCTGCAGAGGGATTTAGATAGACTGGGGGACTGGGCACTCAAATGGCAGATGAAATTTAATTTTGAAAAATGCAAAGTTATGCACTTCGGCGTAAAGAATACACAAGCAACGTATATATTAATGGAAGTGAATTAGGGATAACAACACACAAAAAGGACTTGGGAATTGTTATAGACAACAAACTATGCAACAATGTGCAATGTCAATCGGCAGTGGCCAAGGCCAGTAAGATATTGTCATGCATGAAAAAGGGCATTCATTCTCTGGACGAGAAGATGATTTTGCTTCTTTATAAAATCACTGGTATACATATTGAATATTCTGTGCAATTTTGGGCACCTGTTCTAAAGAAGGATATTATGACACTAGAAAAAGTGCAGAGGCGGGCTACAAAATTAATAAAAGGAATGGAACATATCAGCTATGAAGAAAGGTTAACAAATTTAAACCTATTTAGTTTAGAAAAATGTTGCCTGAAAGGGGATATGATAACATTATACAAATATATTCGGGGCCAATACAAACCATTGTGTGGAAATCTATTCACAAACCGGACTTAGGACACAAGGCCATGCGTTTAGACTGGAAGAAAGAAGTTTTTGTCTAAGGCAAAGGAAAGGTATTTTTTTATTGTAAGAACAATCAGGATGTGGAATTCTCTGCCTGAAGAAGTGGTTTTATCAGAGTCCATACAGATGTTCAAACAGCTACTAGATGCATACTTGCAAAAACATAATATTCAAGGATATAATCTTTCAATGTAGGGTAATAACTGCTTGATCCAAGGATAAATCTGACTGCCATTCTGGGGTCAAGAAGGAATTTGTTTCCTAGCTTATTGCAAAATTGTGCTTCAAACTGGTTTTTTTTGCCTTCTTTTGGATCAACAGCAAAAAACAAATGTGAGGAAGGCTGAACTTGATGGACACAAGTCTCTTTTCAGCTATGTAACTATGTAATATATGTACTACTCTGCAACCCAAAAATAAAGAATTAACCCCCTTCAGGACTGAGTCAATAGTACACGTTCTGATCAAAACAAAACGTAAAGAAAAACTGGAATTTGCGCTATATGTCTGTTCAACCGTTATTCACTTCTTTCATATTAAATGCACCCACACTTATTAAGTGTTCTTGCATAGCAAGACCACTTAATGTTATCTCACATATATATTATTATTATTATTATTATTATTATTCTTATTATAGCAAAATTTGCCACCCTAACTCCTCCCACAGTTTTTACACTACATAGACAAAAATTTACCAAAACGTGCAGATTGTTCCCGATCGGATTGCTATTACTTTGTGGAACGTTTCGCCGAATGGTTCACGGAATATCGTCGTTCTTGTGGCGAAATTTGTCCCATAGGAATGAATGGCAAAGCTAGAGTGTGAGCTGCCAAAAGCTGAAAAATCAGGACATGATTTCTAAACTGCCACCACTCCCTTATTTTCAGGCCCACCTACACAAATCTTATATCAAAACGTTCAGCTATCCCTGCTGCCACTAAACATGTCAACGGCTAAGCCGTAGTCCTGATAGTTTTCACAATATAATCATTTGTTTGCAACTAACGCCGTCCATTGACTTTCATTGAAACTTCACTCTGCAAAGCTCAAATTTAAAGTGCAATTTCTAAACTGCGACTGTGCCTTCAATTTTAATACTTCAGAGACATACTATGCATCAAAATGTAGGTCTGGGTCTTGTGATTCTCACAATATAAAGTTCTTCGCTGTAGGATTTATAGTTTTTAAGATACGACCGTTTGAAGATGGCAACCGCCAAAATACTCTGACCTGTGTCAGGCTGCAGCAGCAAGTGATGTCATAGACAGGGCCTTTTGAACACCTGCTAATGTTTTTATAAATGTATGGTTTAATGTAACTGTGCAACAACGTTGCAATTAAATGTGCTATATAAATGATAACAGTTACTCCGCCCACTCCAGTTGTAGACTACTGGTGGAGGCAAGAACACTTCACACAATTTCCCCAGAAATTGTAACTTTTCTAGTTATATATCATTTTGTTCAGGAGAAACATGGCTTTCATTTCATATCAAATATTTAGCTATGAAACATAATTTATTATGAATAAAATTAAAAAAACTGTGAGAAATTTAAATTTTCTTTGAAAAACAAAGTAGTTCTGCCTCACATTTTAGCTGTAAATGTCATAATACTGTTAGGTTTTACTGCAAAAAAATGCACATATTTGTAATCAGCGATGTCGCACGAGTACAACAGTACCCCCCATTAACAGGTTTTATGGTATTTTGGAAAGTTACAGGGTAAACCATAGAACGTTCCATTTTCAAATAGAAATTTGCCAGATTAGTAATGTTACCTTTGAGACGGTGTGGTAGCCCAGGAATGAGAATTATCCCCATAATGGCATACCATTTGAAAAACTAGACAAGCCAAAAAGTGGGGTATGTTTAGTCTTTTTTACTAGCCACTTAGTCACAAACACTGGTCAAAGTTAGCGTTCTTATTTATTTTTGTGGGAAAAAAGCAAAAAACTAATATTTGGCCAGTGTTTGTGACTAAGTGGCTACTAAGAAAGACTGGACATACCCCACTTGCAATACCTTGGGTTGTCTACTTTTGCAAATGGTATGCCATCATGGGGGTAATTCTCATTCCTGGGCTACCATATGCTCTCAAAGGCAACATAACCAATCTGGCAAATTTCAATGTCAAAAAATGAAATGCAAGCCTTACATGTGACTCTCTAACTTTCCAAAACACCATAAAACCTGTACATGAGGGGTACTGTTATTCTCGGGAGACTTCACTAAACACAAATATTAGTGTTTTAAAACAGTAAAACATATTACAACAATAATATAGTCCATAAAAGTGCTGTTCATTTGTAAAAAATGAAAAAAGTCACTTTTACTTAAAATATCATTGTTGTAATACAATTTACCAGTTTTAAACACTAATATTTGAGTTCAGCAAAGTCTACCGAGTAAAACAGTACCCCCTATGTACAGGTTTTATGGTGTCTTGGAGAGTTACAGGGTCAAATATAGTGCTCTGCACTTTCTCCCTGTGTTGTCAGGCATGTCAATCAAATTTTAATTCATCAAATCATATAATTATGTTAAAATATTACTTAAATATACATGTAGAATTTTAATACATATGCATTTATACGTATTTAAATTCTACGTGTATACTAATTTACTCTTTTATGTAATTAAATGTATTTTATATATATATATATATATATATATATATATATATATATATATTTGTGGTTATTTGTATTTTATATATAGATAGATACAGGGGTGGACTGAGAGCCTTTGGGGCCCCCGGGCAAAATTAGATCCCAGGCCCTTTGAAGGCCAAATATATGTGCATTAAATAAATGTTTAATATAATTCATAATACGGCATTCCTTTGGATGTGTGTATTGTGAAGACCTGTGTATCAATGCATGTTTGTATTTGAGTCTGTGTGAATGCACTTGTGCATGTCTGGATAACTACATGTGCTTTTTTGTATATAGTGTCTGTGTGAATGCATATGTGACAGGTGACAGAGTGTGTGAGGGAGAAGGTGACAGGTGGAAGAGTGTGGGAGGTTGTGACAGGTGGCAGAGTGAGGGGGTATCTGGTGGCAGAGTGAGGGAGGGGTTGAGTGGTGGCAGAGTGAGGGGGAGACACAGTGAGTGGGGGTGACTGGTGACAGAGTGAGGGAGTGGGTGACTAGTGACAGAGGGAGGGAGATAGGGGTGACTAGTGACAGAGGGAGGGAATGGGTGACTAGTGGCAGAGTGAGGGAGGGAAGAGATGACTAGTGGCAAAGTGAGGGAGGGAAGGGGTGACTAGTGACAGAGTGAGGGGATGACTGGTGACAGAGTAAGGGGGGGTGACTGTCACTAGTCACCCCATCCCTCTCTCTGTCACTAGTCACTCCCTCCCTAACTCTGTCACCGTATCACCCGCTCCCTCACTCTGTCACTGTGTCACCCACTCCCTCACTCTGTCACTAGTCAACCCATCCCTCTCTCTGTCACTAGTCACCCCATCACTCTCTCTGTCACTAGTCACCCCATCCCTCTCTCTGTCACTAGTCACTCCCTCCCTAACTCTGTCACTGTGAAGGAAGGAAGGGGTGACTGGTGACAGAGTGAGGGAAGGGATGACTAGTGGCAGAGTGAGGGAAGGAAGGGATGACTGGTGACAGAGTGAGAGAGGGGGTGACTAATGACAGAGTGAGAGAGGGGGTGACTAGTGACAGAGTGAGAGAGGGGGTGACTGTCACTAGTCACCCCATCCCTCACTCTGTCACTAGTCACCCCCTCTCTCACTCTGTCACTAGTCACTCCCTCTCTCACTCTGTCACTAAAGACAGAAGGGGTGATTAGTGACAGAGTGAGGGAGGGGGTGACTAGTGACAGAGTGAGGGAGCAGGTGACACAGTGACAGAGTTAGGAGGGAGTGACTAGTGACAGAGAGAGGGATGGGGTGACTAGTGACAGTCACCCCCTCCCTCACTCTATCACTAGTCACCCCCTCTCTCACTCTGTCACTAGTCACCCCCTTCCCTCTCTCTGTCACTTCCTCATTCTGTCACTAGATTGAGGGGGTGACTAGTGACAGAGTGAGGGAAGGGATGACTAGTGGCAGAGTGAGGGAAGGAAGGGGTGACTAGTGACAGAGTGAGGGAGGTGGTGACTGTCACTAGTCACCACCTCCCTCACTCTGTCACTATTCACCACCTCCCTCTGTCACTACTCCCTCCCCCCTTCTGTCACTACTCCCTCCCTCCTTCTGTCACTAGTCACCCCCTCCCTCACTCTGTCACTAGTCACCCCCTCCCTCACTCTGTCACTAGTCACCCCCTCACTCTGTCACTAGTCACCCCCTCACTCTAGTGACAATGAGGGAGGGGGTGACTGGTGACAGAGTGAGGGAGGGAAGTGGTGACTAGTGACAGAGTTAGGGAGGGAAGGGGTGACTAGTGACAGAGGGAGGGGTGACTAGGGACAGAGTGAGGGAGGTGGTGACTAGTGACAGTCACCACCTCCCTCACTCTGTCACTGTGTCACCCCCTCCCTCTGTCACTGGTCACCCACTCCCTCCCTCACTCTGTCACCTGTCACCCCCTCACTCCGTCACCCCCTCACTCTGTCACTAGTCACCCCCTCACTCTAGTGACAGAGTGAGGGAGGGGGTGACTAGTGACAGAGAGAGGGAGGGGGTGACTAGTGACAGTGAGGAAGGGTGTGACTAGTGACAGAGTGAGGGAGGATGTGACTAGTGACAGAGGGAGGGGTGACTAGTGACAGAGTGAGGGAGGGAAGGGGGTGAGTAGTCACTACTCAATCCCTCCTTCTGTCACTAGTCACCCCCTTTGTCCCTTACTCTGTCACTAGTCACCCCCTAACTCACTCTGTCACTAGTCATCCCCCTCTCTCACTCTGTCACTAGTCATCCCCCTCTCTCACTCTGTCGCCAGTCATCTGCTCACTCTGTCACCAGTCACCCCTTCCTTCCCTCACTCTGCCACTAGTCACCCCTTCCCTCACTCTGTCACCAGACATCCCCTCACTCTAGTGACAGAGTGAGGGAGGGTGTGAGTAGTGACAGAGTGAGGGAGAGGGTGACTAGTGACAGAGTGAGGGGATGATTAGTGACAGAGTGAGGGAGGGAGTGGGTGACCAGTGACAGAGGGAGGGGGTGACACAGTGACAGAGTGAGGGAGGTGGTGACTGTCACTAGTCACCACCTCCCTCACTCTGTCCCTAGTCACCCCTCCCTCTGTCACTAGTCACCCCTTCCCTCCCTAACTCTGTCACTAGTCACCACTTCCCTCCCTCACTCTGTCACCAGTCACCCCCTCCCTCATTGTCACTAGAGTGAGGGGGTGACTAGTGACAGAGTGAGGGAGGTGGTGACTGTCACTAGTCACCACCTCCCTCACTCTGTCACTAGTCACACCACCTCCCTCTGTCACTACTCAATCCCTCCTTCTGTCACTAGTCACCCCCTTTGTCCCTTACTCTGTCACTAGTCACCCCCTAACTCACTCTGTCACTAGTCATCCCCCTCTCTCACTCTGTCACTAGTCATCCCCCTCTCTCACTCTGTCACCAGTCATCTGCTCACTCTGTCACCAGTCACCCCTTCCTTCCCTCACTCTGTCACCAGTCATCCCCTCACTCTAGTGACAGAGTGAGGGAGGGTGTGAGTAGTGACAGAGTGAGGGAGAGGGTGACTAGTGACAGAGTGAGGGGATGATTAGTGACAGAGTGAGGGAGGGAATGAGTGACCAGTGACAGAGTGAGGGGGGGTGACTAGTGAGGGAGGGGGTGACTAGTGACAGAATGAGGGAGGGGGTGACTAGTGACAGAGGGAGGGAGATGGTGACTGTCACTAGTCACCCCATCCCTCCCTCTGTCACTAGTCACTCCCTCCCTAACTCTGTCACTAGTCATCCCCTCCCTCACTCTGTCACCAGTCACCCCATCCCTCCCTCTGTCACTGTGTCACCCCATCCCTCCCTCTGTCACTAGTCATCCCCTCCCTTACTCTCACTAGTCACCCCGTCCCTCACTCTGTCACTAGTCACCCCCTCCCTCTGTCACTGGTCATCCCCCCCCTTACTCTGTCACTAGTCACCTACTCACTCTAGTAACAGAGTGAGGGAGAGGGTGACTAGTGACAGAGTGAGGGAGAGGGTGACTAGTGACAGAGTGAGGGACGGGGTGACTAGTGACAGAGTGAGGGACGTGGTGACGATTGACAGAGTAAGGGAGGGAAGGGGTGACTAGCGACAAAGTGAGGGAGGAAAGGGGTGACTGAGTGAGGGAGGGGGTTACTAGTGACACAGTGGGGGGGTGACTAGTGACAGTGAGGGTGAGACTGGTGACAGTGGGGGGTGATTGGTGCCTACCTGTCTCTCTGTTTCCTCTTCTCTCCCAGGCTGCTGCTCATTTCCCTAGCTGGGCTCTGTGTGAGGTAAAGCAGGAAGTGATGTCACTTCCTGGCCCGCCCTCTCCCATCACACAGAGCACGCATGGGAGAGGAAGCAGGAGACCTGGCAGAGAGGAGGTGAAGCTGCCAGGTGTCTCATGGGCTGACTAGCAGAGCGGTAGGTTGTGGAGGCCCCGTGCTGCATCAGGGGCCCCACAACCCATTGATTAAATAGTTTTATTGTATTTTTTTGCCGGTCCAGTTGGAGAGATCTCTGATCTCTCCAGCTGGAGCAAGGCTGTGCTGCCTGGCCCCTGACTGCCTCGGGCCCTCGGTCCATGACCGATATGCCCGAGTGGTCAGTCCGCCCCTGGATAGATATATATAGAATGTCATTCTAAGTGTATTTTGTGTATTTTGTTTTTTTAATAACAAAATACAGTTAGAATGAAATTACATATGAATATATAATTTATATTACATTTTGTTTCAATATTTTATTTATTTTATTATTTAATTATACGTGTGTATATATATATATATATATATATATATATAATATATGTGTATATATCTATTTTATATATAATATATATACATATATATGTAACATCATTCTAAGTGTATTTTAATATTAATATATATACTAATATTAATATTAAAATACACTTTGTATGACATATATATATATAAATACTTTTAATTTAATTTTAAACCTGTTTAATTTTTTTGTTTTACACTTTCCACCAGCAGGAGGACTGTCTGATTTTTCAGACAGTCCCCCTGCTGGCAGATCCATAGCCAGCTATAGGGGGCCATGTGATCGCTCTTTGAGAGCGATCACATGGCCCCCGGGGGCCTCATTTGCCGGGGGAGGGCTGCCTGAGCTGTCAGGCAGCCCTCCAGAAGAGGATCGCGGCAGAGGTAAGTAGATCTCACCCCCCCTGGGCTTAAGCCATTACGGCGTTCTATGCTGCCGCAACGGCTTTAAAGCCCTTTAAAGCCGCTACGGCATAGAACGCCGTAGCAGCGTTAAGGGGTTAAAAAATAAAAGTAAGGAAAAATATTCCAATAGGTTCAATGCATATTTCTCCTATTTGAGGTACTAGAATTTATTGAGAGTATTTATGTTGAAAATTCACATCTGAAGTGTAAATAAATAAATGATATTTGATCTATGGACAATAAACTGCTAAATCTAAATACATTTTTTTTTTTTTTTTACTAAATCGTCAGGTGCATTTCTTCCTGGAGTTCCTGTTCAACCTGTTATCCTGAGATATCCCAATACACTGGTATGAGCAAAAACTCTACTTTTTGTCAGCTGTAATAAAAGTAGTTTATGTATTTATCATATAAATATAAATATGCCATATGACAGTTATGGTAGCATTCCATATATTGAAACATTTATGAGCAGTTGACCGGTAGTTGCTGTATTAACTGAATCTATGGTGTGCCAGGTAGTTGTGATACACTTAAGTGAACAAGTATCATAACAAACAATATCTTTAAAGATGGATGAATGAATGAATAGAAGGATTGATAGATGGATGGCAACATAAACCAGTATATCAATAAATAGTCCAAATAGCCTTGAACAGAATCGAGCACAACCATTTGGTGCAGTACAGGGCCATTTGAACAGAAAATCCAGACATTCTTTGTGACAAACTGCCCTCTGCCACTGGATTTTTGAGCAGCCTGATTGCCAGCCTCTTGCCCTATGACTATGGCCCTGGGAGTATTGCCATCTATAAAACCCTATTTGGGCATATTGGATTTGAAAAGACTGGTTTCTGCCCCTTTAAAGCCATTGGAAAATGTGCCTCTTCCTTCCCCCTTTTTCCTGTCCTTTTGTTTCTCCAGCAGAGCGTGGTCGCAGGGACACTGTCAGACCAGTTTAAACTGGCTGCTTTGTCCCTCAATCTCTCATCAGCCCTTGCTATTGTTTAACCCCCATGGCAATCCAACTATATTCGTGAGATCTGAGTGCTGTTCGGACATATTGAGCACTCAGATCCAAGTTATCTGGGGGTATGTTGGACATGTAGGTTAAACATTGTATTATACGAGTTATGTATTTTTATGTGGTTTTTGTAACAGTTTTGACTTAGAGATATTTTCTGTACCTGGAGATAATTAGGTTACCACCGCCACTTAAGCCAATTATCTCCAGGATAGAGGAGAAGAAAGACCGGCTGCACAGCCTAAATCTGTGGAACTGTGGGTATGAAAGCCATGCTTGTGGTCAGTCAAATATGACTTCCAGGAATTTCCTGAACTTCTGCTCTGATCTGAGTGATTTTTGGATATGCCACTCACCCAGATCAGGGATATCCAGGGATGTATTGTAAAGCGCTGCGGAATTTGACGGCACTCTATAAATATCATAATAATAATAATTGTAATTATAATGTATAATTTGTGGGGATATGTTGTTGTTTTGGGGTGTTTCTATGTTTTGGGTAAAAACCTGTATATTTTCTTGGTGTGATAATTAAGTTAGCCACAGGCAGAGGGGAGGGTTTGTGTGCCTTGGCTGGGAGTGTCTGACTGTGCTGTAACGTATTGACTGGCTGTTGTAACTTTGTCTCCTGTGTACCACAAGGTCCACATGGGTGGTAACCTTGTGGAGAAATGTGAATATAAGAAAGTCTTTTGTGCCCATTAAACCAGTTCTACTCGACCCTTAAACTTGCAGCCTTGACTCGTGTTTGGAGGGGACAGCTATAATCACTACAGGGATTGCTATGCTCTGCATACTCCCTTGGTTTTAGTGAGCTCTTGTAAGAGCTCTTGTTCCTGATCCAGCTTCACTCTCTGGGAGGAAGAGAGGTTCCCCCACTGGAACCTGGAGCCTTGTCGTAGGTCCAGGGTGGGTAGAAGACAGCAAGACCCCAACCCAGCAGCAGTGGTTCGTGGCGTCTGCAGTACTTATGGTGTCTACGGTGCTGATGGTCCTTGGTGAGCGCTAGGAGCATCCTTTCTATGGTCCAACCCTCAGCTTGCCTGGGGCACCCGTAACATTTGGTGGCAGCGATATGATATCTACATTTACAGGATTACTACTGGATGCTGTTTGGAACTTCGCTACTACTCTCCAAGATCGGGAACCAGGACATCTAAACGGTCCAGCTTTCAGCTAGCCTGGACGCAACCGTAACAGTTTACAGTACCCAACAATTTCTATTTTTGTAAAACTTGGTAAAATAAGTCTGCATTTGGACTGCAACGTAGCCGTATTGGAAGCTGACAGATGGTAGATTTCAAGACCAAGAAAGTTGAAATCTGGGCTTGGATACTTACAATTTCTGAGTTTCAAAATCTGAACTCTTTGCCCACTGGCACACGTGAACACTGCCTGCACTGTGTAAGGAAAACCAAAAAAGTGAGAACTATTTTGGTGTATGTATAAACTGCGCAAAAGGAAGTGTACTCCCAATATGGAAATGAACAAAGTAATGAGTTAATAATGGTTCTGTAAGAGTAGACTACACTTGATAAAGAGTGTGTCCGTGATAGATGGAAAAAGAGTGTCCTTTAATGCTCCTCCTTTAAAAGAAAGTGTCCCTACACTTTCTTATATAAGACAAAATAGCATAAGAATAAATAAGGT